GGACTACGATGGCTGGGTATTCAACGACACAATCAGGACTACAATGGCTGGGTATTCAACGACACAATCAGAGAAAAAGCTCCAATGAAGCATGTTGGTCGAAGTGGAAAAAGCTAATGGCATCTGGTTCATTAACAACCAGGACTACGATGGCTGGGTATTCAACGACACAATCCAGGACCCGAAATGGTTATGGACATACACTAACACCAACCCAGCATCCAAACAACTTGATGTGTTCCCACCTTCAGACAGAAGATGGTACGCAGTGGGTGCCAAGAAGGTGCTCGGAATCCCAGGTAAATTCCACACTGACCCGGTGATCGACCCACGTGCACTCAAGGAAGAACAGAAGCACAAGGACCTGCTGTGGGACATCAAAACAATCAGAAATCAGACAGTTGAAGCATGTCAAAACACAGACTTGGATAACAAGACAGAAGATGGCACGCAGTGGGTGCCAAGAAGGTGATCGGAATCCCAGGTAAATTCCACACTGACCCGGTGATCGACCCACGTGCACTCAAGGAAGAACAGAAGCACAAGGACCTGCTGTGGGACATCGAAACAATCAGAAATCAGACAGTTGAAGCATGTCAAAACACAGACTTGGATAACAACACGCTGCGCCTTGAAGCAAAAAAGGAAAACTGGAGCACCAACACCCCAAACCAGACAGGTCTTCCGACCTCAAGAGGAACGCTTCCCCTCCCCCAAAAGAGAGCCAAGAAGACAGAGCAAGGAAGAAGAGGAGAGCAACGGAGGAAGGAGAGGGGAAATTTCTGAGTCGAACAACCTCGCGCAAACGACACTCCCCCCGGATCCGACTCGGAGCTCCCAACAGACCCACTCACAGGAATGGAGATCTCGAACAAAGCAAACCCCATCCCATGGTTAGAGGAATACCTGCAGAGAGCAAAATACGAGAGGGAGAAGGAATTTGACGTCAGACTGGCCTGCATGAAGCATTGGGAAAAGACAGGCAATCCAGCCACCGGCCCTTCTTCCAAAAGCTATTACAAACTGCCATGTCAGAAATCTGAACTCTCGAAGTTCAACGCTTTCAGATATTATGAGAAAAAGAGAGAGAGAGAGAGATTTTGCAGGAGGGGATGCTGAAATGGGGTTCGACCCCCTGTCCTCAGCAGACTCCATCCATGACATGGTCTCCAAGAATTGGAACCATAAAGAGGTCGGGACAAAAGGGCAAGGGGACCTCCCAGAGACGACGCGGGAAAGAAGAACGAACAGCAAAATCTCACCAAGGAAATCGCAACAGTAGCAGCACAAACTAAACGCTTGTTCGATCAGAACCAGGACTACAGGAAGGAACAAAAGGAAAACTTCATCACAGTTTAGATGGTCGCGAAAGGCAAGGCTAATCACATCACCAGATCTGCAGAGGCCGACCGAAAGACCATCAGGGCGTCTCGCCCATTGCTCCCAGTACAATACAAGAGCAAATTCAACGAGTGGCAAGTGGCCGATGCCTCCTTCGCAATCCCCATCCTCGACGACGATCGCACCCTCGCAAGGAACATTAGAGCAAACATTTCATCTGAAAGACCATCAGGGCGGGCTCGCCCGTTGCTCCCAGTACAATACAAGAGCAAATTGAAAGAGTGGCAAGTGGCCAATGCCTCCTTCGCAATCCCCATCCTCGACGACAATCCCCTCGCAAGGAACATTAGAGCAAACATTTCCACAGAGCTCCCGCAAGAGGTTTAGGCTGTTCCACCACGAGAGCCAGCAGGTGAGAGCGAGGACTCAGACTCATTGATCCTCACCCACTTCGATCCCATCCTGGTCAAGCTCGAGGAAAAAGCAAAACTCAGCGAAGGTCTGACCTGGAGGGCAAGGAACACGATCACAGCACTGCCATACAATATGCTGAACGGTAGGTCCTGCTTGACGGAAATCATTGCCGAGTCGCTAGCAGGTAATCATCAGGACCCACCTTTCTACCTCAACGAGCTCATTGCAAGACGAGGCCACTCCTATTGACATGGACATGGGGGAAGAAAAAGACGGCATGGAGGAAGCAGAGGAGTTGGGACCGGACAATAAGATCTCCCCCAGGGGAGACAACGAAGGACCACTCACTTCATCGGAGAGCAGCGCAGGTGCATACGACATGGGATCTGCAATCGGAGATGGAGAGTAGGGATTCGGACACTGAGAGCCGCAAGACTAACGCTGCGGTGGACTGAAGACCTCACCCCCACCGATAACTAAACCTTGTCAACACGCCGAAATAAAACCACAAAACA